AACTCTGCTTGGATTAACTTTTCATTTATTTCTACCAACTCTCCAAGTAACCAGATATTTCTCTTTCTCTCATTCTGCCCCTCACTCAACCCATTTTCCTGCTTCTGGTTTCCAAAGCTCCAATATTAAGTGCAAAACTCACAAAACAAAGAAGTGTGTAACTGTGTTTAATTCCTTGAAAGCAAGTATAACACCTTAGATTAAGTCCTTAAATCAGACTACTAGTGAGAAAGGAGATTAGAACTATGATTTGTTACTAAATAAAGATGCTCAATCTTTTTCTACTATTTTAGCCCATTATTGTTCTGTCTGCAAATAGAGTGAAAGCAAAGAAATACACTCTTAGGTTACTCCTGGGAGACTCTGTATTGGGCCAACCCAACTGTTCCTAATTAATTTTAACTATGACAACTCCTCCCAAATGCTGGACATTCCAAGCCATTTTTGAGAACGGCTGAATATCACTCAAGGAAGTATGGATTTCCTGAGTATACTGGACTGTAATTTCAGGAACAGAAGAAAAATATCATTATTGTGCCCTTCCCATAGTAGGAACTCAAATAATATGTCATGTTAAATAAATACTCTTTCTGCTTCTGAGAACATGTTGTAATTTTTATGCTCTGTCCTGATATTTACTGTCATAATTGTTAAACCACTAAGATGGCACATTAATATACATCATGTATTTTTGTCTTTAATGAAATTGAAAACAAACACCACAAACTGAAATTCTGAGAGATTTTTTTCCTCCAACTACCAGTTTCTATAAAGCAGTTATTATCACTCTAGCAATTAAAAAAAAAGCATTAAAAAGAAAAGTATTCTTAGAGCATTTATTGTTTTAGACCATTTACTAAGATTTTTTCAATTAAGTCCCATTCTAAGGGCCTCTTAACATTTTTTAAAATGTTTATTTATTTATTTGAGAGAGAGAGAGCACACAGGGGAGGGGCAGAGAGAGAGAAAGAGAAAAAATCCCAAGCATAGCAGGAGCCCAACACAGGGATTGATCTCATAAATTGTGAGATCATGACCTGAGCCAAAATCAAGAGTCTGATGCTTAACTTACTGAGCTACCCAAGCGCCCCAATATAATTCATTACATCCAAAAATGTTTTTAAAGATTCTATTTTTTTTTTAAGTAACCTCCACTCCCAACATGGGTCTCGAACTCACAACCCCAAGATTAAGAGTCACATGCTCTACTAACTTAGCCAGCTAGGAGCCACCTAAGGATTTTTTTATTATTAAAAAAGAATTCTTGCTAAATTAAACAAGAAAACTTCAGCATAAAGCTGAACTGCAGGAAGATCATTTAAAATACTCATATCATGTCATATTTCAATAAAATAAAACTTTTAGCATCATCAAGAACACCACTTGTATACCCACAATTGTACTGTCAACATACCAAGACATTGGCGATTCAGAGGCAAAAGACATGGCTTCCAGCCTCAAGAAGTTTACTATCTAATTAGGACAATAGGACATTTACTGAAAAAGAGCATCAAAAATACAAGGGAGCATTGGATATGCCAAGCATTTAGTACGCAGAGAAGTAGAATAAAATAGCTTTTGAAATCTTTGGTTCAAATCTCAGATCCACCACATACTAGGCTCATGTAAATTACTTCCCTCATTTGTAAAACTGAGTGTTAAATGAAGTAAAACCCCTTGCATATAGTAACACCCTTGTATATATAGTAAGTATTCCTTACATATAGTAAGAAAGACTGAGAGTATTATTAAGGATACAGGCTTGAGGAAGAAATGGGAAATTGGAAAAGCTTAAGGAGAGAAAGTATTAATATCTTTTTTGTAATCTATCACCACAAAGCAAAAATCACAAGATCTCTCTCACTCAAGTTTCACTTCTTACTGATTAGAATAAAATAGAATGCCTAGTGAAGACAACTGAAATTAGAAAACACTAAGGCTATACAACACTAAAGTACCCTGGGAAAGTCCCACTAGAGCTACAAATCATAGAATATGATCTATAAAAAAGAATGTTAGTGGGAAAGGTCCTTAAATCAGCTAATTCAAGCTCCCCTACTGGAATGTAAGTTCCATGTTTTGTCTCCAGGAATTTTTATGTATTTTGTTCCTTAGTATAGCCGCGGTACCTAGAATAATTCCTAGCACACAGTGAATGTTCAACAACTTTTTGTTGAATGACTATTAAAATTAAGAAAATCGAGGCCCTGGAGACCTAACTCAATGCCATAGAGTTAGCTTTTGGCATATCTGAGACTGGAACTAACATTTCATTACTCTAGTATTCTATCCTCTCTAGGAGCTAGAATATGATAATTTAGATGATTTATTTTGGTGGCTGGGGAGTTGGCAAGTTGGTTGTCAGGCAGGGAAAGAGGAAGGAAGGAATAAATTAAAATATTTTTCACATTTCCCCCCCCAAACTGCCAGTTTTGCTTAACTGATAAAGGCAAAATATTATAAACGAGACAATCCCAGCATAGTGCCTAGCACATAATAGGTACTTAACAAATATTTGTTGAATGAAAGAACCTACTCCAAAACCATTATTATCTCACGACCAGGGGCAGAAACCAACCCAAGCATCTGTCTAATCTTTTAACTGTCACAGAGCCCTTTAAAATTTGCAGTCATTCATAAGACAGTTTTTAATCACTTTCTTCCAGATGGGCACTGAGGAAGAGAGATGAATTAAAAGATGTCCCTGCCCTGGAGGATTTCTCTCTTGAGTATGCCTATATCTAAGTGTGTGTGTTGGGGGGGTGGAGGGGTGGGGAGTGAGGGGGGAGGCAGTGAGTATAACACAAATAGATCAATAATGAATGTGAAACCAGGCTGATTATCTTAGTTTATTTGCTTCAAGTAGTTAAAAAATTAAATTGAAAATATACAAATTAGAAAAGTTTTAAAATAACAAGGAGGCACATTAGGGTATATTAACACTTAGGTTCTTTTTCATGTCCCTTTACATGTATCTTATTGCTTCTTAATGTCTTAAAATCAAAATATTCTAAATTGATTTAATTTGAATTATCAGTATAAAGGAACCATCAACGTACATTCTCTCATATGTGAGACACTGAAGGATAATACTGATTCAGTATTTACCATGTGTACATGTTAATATTTAAATACATAACCACAAGAACATATTTAAATTATTTAACTGTCTATAAAACTGACAGAGCCTGAAGAAAATTTCCAAAGATGAATGACAGTAAACAGAAACTAAAAACACAGTATTACCCAGGGAGAGAATAAAGTATGCACACAACTAAGAAACAGATCTATAGAAGACTTCAAGAGAACAAAAACTTCAAGAGGGGAAAACTGCCTGAATTGGCCAACACAACCAGAGAGCAGGAGCCTGCCAACAGGATCTTATATAATGCAAGTCACTAACTAGACTCATAAGAAGTGAACACCCAAAAGTCAATGTTGCCACTACTCTTATTTGAGTTTCAGGATGACCCTTCCAAAGGGATTCACCGCCAAAACTAAATTGCCACATTCCAAGGATTCTCCTCTGTCATCTGCTTGTCAAAATACGATAAGCAACACCAAGAAAACTGGGAAACAAACAGACTTCACTTAGGAAACTGAGAAATCCTGCAAACGGAAGTTAGTTATTTTAACTGAGGTACATGTTTATAGGTGACTCCAGGGAAAGAAAACATTTTTTCACTCAGTTTCTCTATCCCAGAGTGCTAAATGAAACACTCCAAAGCCTTCCGCTCCAACACAGAAAACTCCAAGGCCCAAATGTATAAGCACTCACAAATCTAGGCCAAGGAGACTACAAGGTGGCAGGGAGATATAAGGCAGGAAGAAAGGCTGTGGTGGGCCTCTACGGGGCGTACATGGTCACTCCCCAGCTTTGGGGAGAACAAACTGAGAATTTGAGGTTGAGGGTGAGTTTTGGTCAGAGGAGCAGGAAGAGACTGACAGGTGCAATGTCACCCCCTCATCATCCTGAACATCATGAAAACATTACAATTGGCTTTCTTTACAGACAAGGAGGAACAAGGCTTCCCAGAGTGAATGATGTTGAAGCACAAGGTTTTCTGGGAAGCACAAGGACTGGACTCTACAACAGAAAGACAAGAGGAAAGACCCCGAGTACAGGTTCGCCCATAATGAGTGATCTCTATAGTCGTTCCCAGCACCAACACTGGTGGAACCATCACACCTGTAAAAGGATGTTTCCCTGTTATCCGTGTGGGCAGCGATTAAGTGAAGCCCACCGGGTAAGAGTAGAAGCAGGAAGAGACGGAACTGGGGGGGTCTGACCCAGAAGGAAATCTGATCAGGAGAGGAAGAGGCTGAACTCAGGAAGAGGCTAGCAGGGTAAGCAGTTGAGGAGAATAAGACATACTTGGAAGAGAGGCTGACTATCAGAAACTGCTGGGGAAGGGAGAGGGCTTTCACTGGACTCCAGTGGGAAAAGGCCAGTTTCGAGAGGAAAGACTGGCTTAGAGAGGGCCCTGGGCGTCTAGGTCTGGAAGGTGAGTATTAACTACGGGAAGCGCTCTGCATGGCCCAGAGACCAGCCTCGTGCGGGGCAAGGGCTGACCAGGGGGTGAGGCTGATCCGCGCGAGCTCAACAGGAGCTCACCTGGAGTGCGTCTGGCCTGGAAGAAGGAAACTTCCTGGCTGGGTGAAAGCTGCGTGGAGTGAGAAGGGCCAGACGTCAGCTGAGCAGGGTAGGGGGCACGGTCCACTCAGCTGTGGGACGTAAGGGCGGCGGGACCGGGCGCTGGGGTGGGGGGGTAGTGTGGGGCGGGGTCAAGGCTGCAGCCGCGGAGCTGCGGGCTCGGGATGGCGCCCTCCCTCAGTCACAGTGTCTCACACTCGCACATATACACACGCTCTCGCTCTCACCATCGGCCACCCCGCCCGGGGCGAGAGAAACTGCCCGGGTCGGTGAACCACAGGACGGTGGGGGAGGGGGCCGGGTTGGGGACACCGGCCGACCGAGCCGGACGGGCGGGCGGCGTTACCTGTGTCAAGGAGAACTGGGCCGCCGCAGCCATGGTGTTTCCATCATGCACAGGAGGGGAAGGAAGGACGGGCAGACTGGGGCTCGGGGCGGGGAGGAGGCGGAGGGAGCGGTCAGAGGCGAGGCCCGGGCAGGCGGGCGGGCGTCTCCCCTAACTTCGACAACTTCCCTCCTCTTGCCCGCCCCGCCCCGCCTGGCCCCGCCCTCCCGGCGCCGGCGTGGCAGCGCCCAAATCCTGGCGCCGGAATTTGAGCTGCCGGACCGGAGCCTTACACAACCCCACCTCACCCCACCCCCACCCACCGGGGCCGCCTAAGAAAACCCGGTGCGGATATAAAAGTAAGGCGGACGGGCTGTGTAGGCTTTAGGCAGGCCACCTACCTACCCTAAGCTTCTGCTTCTGAGAAATAGAGGAAATTATACCCAAAGTCCAGGTTGCTTGTGAAAACTAAATGAGATCATGATAGAAATAACAGTACTTTATATATGCTAGACTCTGTGCTAGACACTTTATCTTTCAAGGTTATGAATAGAAGGAACTGAGACACAAATAAGTATTTTACCTAAGGTCATACAGCTGATTAGAGAGCCAAATTAGAATCAAGGTCTGACTCCAAAACCTTTCATTTAACCAGCTGGTATTAGGATGTTATACTGAAAAAGACTTTTGGGGCACCTGGATGACTCAGTCAGTTAAGCATCTGACTCTTGATTTCGGTTCAGATCATGATCTCACGGGTTCATGAGTTCAAACCCCGCATCAGGCTCCTTGTGCTGGCAGTGGGGAGACTGCTTGGGATTCTCTCTCTCTCTCTCTCTCTCTCTCTTTCTTTCTCTCTTTATCCTCTCTCTCTGCCCCTCCCATACACTCACTCTCTCTCTTGCTCTCTCGAAAAATAAACGTAAAAAAAAATTTTTTTTAAATAGAAAGAAAAAGAAGACTTTTAAGTCATTCCATCTAGGAGCCAAAAACCAAGTGGGAAGGGTGGAGAAATAATTTTCTTGCCTGCTTGCTGCCTGACACACTTATATTGTTTAATAAAAGAGCGCCGGGACTTGCTCAGATGCCTGCAGCATACCTAACTCCTCCCATAGTCCACCCAGCAAACTTCTACTTTCTGAACACTTGCTCAAGTATCTTCCCCTCTGCAAAGCATCTCCTGACCTCTGCAAGTCAGAGTTACACACTCTTCTTTAACATTTCTTCTCTACCTTATGAAGTCATTATCACTCTAATGACTCTTTACATCTGCCTACCCCTCTAGACTGAGAGCTCCTCAATGGCAAGGACTATTTCTGATATATCTCTATATCATCAGACCCTAGCATAAAGCATGTACTCAATAAAGACCTTTGTTCCCACCTGTGTTAAACATAACATATTCTACACTATCTCATACTGCCATCTTCAGTTGGAATTACCAACCAGTTCCTAGAAACCCTGATTTTTAAATTTTTTTTTCAACGTTTTTATTTATTTTTGGGACAGAGAGAGACAGAGCATGAACGGGGGAGGGGCAGAGAGAGAGGGAGACACAGAATCAGAAACAGGCTCCAGGCTCCGAGCCACCAGCCCAGAGCCCGACGCGGGGCTCGAACTCACGGACCGCGAGATCGTGACCTGGCTGAAGTCGGACGCTTAACCGACTGCGCCACCCAGGCGCCCCATAGAAACCCTGATTTTTAAAGACCTGGCTTATATGTCACCTACTTTAAGAAGACTTCTGGGAACTCCCACTTCACCTCCTAGTTGCTCTGATATGATCCTTATTATACTCTGCCTTGTTTTTAAGAATTAAGGGCTTTTCTCAAATAACCCAGTGAAGAAATGGGCAGAAAACATGAATAGACACTTCTCTAAAGAAGACATCCGGATGGCCAACAGGCACATGAAAAGATGTTCAGCGTCGCTCCTTATCAGGGAAATACAAATCAAAACCACACTCAGGTATCACCTCACGCC